CCTTCCCCCTGGATACAAACGAGGTGACAAGTATCTGGGTGAGAAATTTTCATATAATATGCTCTGAAAGCATTCTTAATTAATTATAATAGTTAAGCTCATAGAGATTTCACGCGTCTGAGAAAGACAGCGAGTCAATGACCTCACCGTCGCGATGCTAGGAGTTCAAGTTCATGAAAATTATATTCCATTATTTCGCTCTTTTTTTTTGCTTAAAAAAATTCTTTGTTTCCTTGAAATTATGTATTAAAAACTCTTCTAACATATTTCTATTTAAATTTTTTTCATTCAAGAATTTTCTATTTTAATTATAAATGTATCCTTGTATGAAAAATCTCATGTTGGATATTAATAAAATAACACCTAGTTTTTTTTCCTTATCTTACAGATAGAATTTACTAGAACCAATCTTCAACTCAAATATTTTCCCTCTATAAATTTATATTTCCCTTTTCTACCCTATTTATTGATTAATTTTGTCTACCAAGCATAACCAATAATAAATGAACTCCAGCTGTAGGAAGATGTGGATAAAATTTTTCAATAGTTATCTTTTAATAATCAAAAATATTTAAACATTTTAAAAATGACTGAATAAATATTCATATCATTCTAATATTTGTTTAAAAAATAAATTAGACCATATTTTAAAAATAACATTTAAATAATAATGGATAATTTAAAAAAAAAACTACAATTAACTAAGAAGATCATTATTCTTCAATCAATTGTTTAAATAAAAGAGAAAGAAGAATCATTTAATAAATTTCATAACAAAAATATTAGCTTAAATATTCTGTTTATTCTCGTAAAATGGAATGAAAACATTTTCTTGTAAATAACTGATTAGATTCGAGTTGGAATAATACTAACGAAATTACTTTTTCTTGCAAAATGATGAAATAGTAAAAAAAAAAGTCCTGCTTTCCAATGAATAATTGCATCTTTAATATTCATTTCAATGTCACCGTTGTCAAATTGAAAATTTTTAATAATAAAAATAATATTTCAAGTAACCATATTATCAGTTTTGTCTTACCATCTGTTTGGTAGCTGGTTTTTATCTAAATTTACACCAGTTGCAGTGGCGATTAAAATGTAATTTTCTCTTCGTTTACCATTTCCAACCTTTTTTTCCTATTTTCCTTTTTTGTTTGCACACTACTACTATTTTTCCTTACCCACGACCTTGAACAACGAATACATCCATAATTCAAATAGGTTCTCGTCTGCACTGTCAACTCAACAGGGCTTTACACTTTTCCGCAAATCACATTTGCACTTTTTTATTTTCGTTTTATTTTCCAACAGTTCGTGACAGCGCAAGTTACTATCGGAAATTGCTTTATCCGATTACAATTCGTTGATCCTAACGACGTAGAAGACACAGAAAATTTATTATTCCTATAGCAAATAGAGAAATAAATGGATGATAAAGTCCAAGTAGTTATCTCGAGTATTGGTCAGACAAGTGATTGAATTGTTTTTATACATCATTTTGAAATAAATATTAACAACAACAACAAAAAGAACTAGATTTATTAAGCGTTTTTTCAGATAAAATTCATACCCAAAATATCAAGAGAAGTTTTTAGATTTTTTTTTTAATTTATACATTCAATTTTCGATCGCAATGTAAATTGGACCGATCAGTTTTGATTGGATTTAACTTCCATAGAAATCAATAATAAAGCAGGACACATTTATTTTTATTCTTCTTACTTAGAGTTATTGGAATAGAATGGATTCTATTGAAAATTTTCGGAATATTGGTGTGAACAGTTAAATACAATGAATTAAATAAATACTCGACAATCGTTTTAATATATCAATCATCAGGAATGATGGTATTGTTTATAATAAAGTGCTTTATTGTTTCTATTCTAAACAAACAATTATGAATCATAGTGGCTTGTAAATTTTTTTTTTGCTTTTCAATCAATTGATTCACTTCTTGTTAAATTGGAGTGGTTTATTCGCATGAATTGAACGTTAAATACGTTATTCTTTGAAGAAAAGAGTTGCTGCAACTCCTTCATATTTTTTATTTTCCATTCACTCATATTTAAACTGGAAATGAAATTGAATTAGTCAAGTTGATGTAGATGTACCAGACGTTTACTTTCACCTTGAACTTCATTTCTGCTAACTTTTTCTTTTTTTACAGAAGATTGTGAATAAATAGTAGATTAATTATAAATTCAATCAAGTAATTGTTGAAATTCAAATTAGAGTTATTTAGTATAACATTTTCAATTACATCGAGGATAATAATTAAAGTTATTGACAATTAATACATTTAACAATTATATTTGCTAACAATGATTTTCAATTTAAAATTGATAATAACAAGTATCCGAAAGTTATACAATTAAATTAAATTAAATTAATCGTAGAATTAGGTGTAATTTAATGTCCTTTTGAATAATGAATTCTCATTTATGCTCATTTTTCAACAAGACATGATATGACAACAGAATATAACACGAAAATCCATCTAAAATAAAAGCATCATTATAAAAAATTCAAGAGTCTACTCTTAAATTCGAGCTTAATTTAATAGCATCATTTTTTTGTTATATTAATTATTTGAGCAATCACTTAGCTTATTAAATATCGTGGTAAACAAAGCACTAAACTCATCTAATACTTCAGTGGAAATTTTTGGGCTGAAAAAATTAATTAACTAAGAGGTTTACTCAGTCTTCTTTTAAAAATATTTTGGCATGAAAGAAACTCAAATAAAAATCTAAATATTATTATTACCAATTGTTATTTTTTCTATTTAAATGTTAATAAAACATCAACTTCCGGTAAAATTAAATTGTCAAGTTGTCAACTGTGAGCCTGTCACTGCCAAACTACCTTAACTACTTAATGATTAAATCATTGTCGAATCTCTGATTTTTTTTATTTTCTGTTCTTCAAAGAAAGCTGGCTCTGATTATCATAAAAGTTGTTTGCCAATCTTTCTAACTGATGACTAACAATTCAAAACATATCTCTTCAAACATAAATAATAGAACAAAGTTGCAAAATTAAATTTAAATAATACATGTAATGTTCCTGAGTCATTCTCATGATTGCTAATTTTGTTGAGGGACTTTAAATGTACGTTTATACCGTCATATTTTAGTTTAGCATCCATTTATTGAGTTCTCATGATCTCCGGAATTCCTTGTGCTCTCAGTGTTTCTTCAATAACCCAACTACTCTGCTAAATCTCTTGGTCTAAACTGACGTAATATAACGAGTAACGCTCTGCGATTTAAACGTAGCCAAGGGCAACTCTATTCATAGTAACACTCTTGTGGTTACGCTACAACTTAACGCATTTCTCCTTCCCCACTTAATTAATTGCAAAAAGTATGAAAAATGTTAAATTCTCCATTTGCTATCATGCCTTACTTTTTAATAGTCGTATATTTTATTTTATGATGAATAAAAATTTTAATGAAAGCCTTAAGTATTTTTAGCAAATGAAATTTGGTCAAGGATGCAACAGTCGGCGTCGTTGTTGTTGTTTAAGTGGTTCAGTGGCTCTCGGAAAGAATGCATAGCCACTCAAGGGTATCATTATATATTACTAAATATCCGTGAATTCTTTAGATCTATTTCAATCATCTTTCTTGCAGTTGATGTTTAACATTCGTTGCGGATACTTCATAGTCAAAAACGTGCTGAATAGATAGTAGAAGTGTGATTCATAGCTTCTCAACGGTGAAGGATACGAGAATGAAAAATATTTTTATCTGAATCTTTATTCAGCTGATTTCTAGATAAATCTTTAATTCAATCATTTTTATCACCAAGAAAAAGAAGTGGTTGTTGAATTTATCAATAAAATAAATATTCAATTTTGCTATAAGAATTATTTCAATGAATTTATTAATTCATAATCCGACAAAGGTGAAGAAGTTATTCAAAAATAACGTCAAAAAAGTGTGCTCTATAGTTAATGAACAAAAAGGTACATTTTGGAATTTTTTATCCGATAAAAAATCTACCAGAAATCTTGATAAGAAGCTTCAGAATGTTGTGTTATAAATTATCAATCATAATCACAACAAATATCATTTTAAAAATGTTTCCTGTTTCCGTTGACTTTGAACACATCAATTTATAGTGTTGCAAAAATAATCTACAAAAAGTAATAAACGACTTTACGACTTACAGAGAAAAATGAATATATTAGAAAAATATAAACAAAAAAGCTATGAATGATAGCATAAAATTGTAAAATTTACATTCCTTTGACTACATTTTTCCTTGAACATAGGAATAGGTTGTTATATTACAGTATCTCCCACTGGTATCGTTGGAATTTGATTGGCTGAAATCCAAAATCGACAGTAGCCATGCCCTAGAAATTTTTTATTGAAATTTGTTAAACGTGAAAACAGCAAAGGCCTTTTCACTTTTTTCCTTCATTCTATTACACTTTATGTGTACTATCTCTGGTGAAGTAATTTTTTCCAGTCTATATTTGAACGAATATTCAAACCACATAACCACAGTATGACAACCAGTCATTTTAAAAATTAAAAAAACGAATAAAATGATATATTACGCTAACCTTGATTTTTTTTGACATTTGTCCAATTATGGTCAGTGAACTTAATTTAATTACTGTGAATTTAATTATAAAATGATTGTCAATAATAAATCATCTAATATTGACCATTGTTTTTACCACAATTTTAACCAGATTATTTCATTTAATTCATTCACTATGAAGACTCTTAATTTATCAACGATTAAAATGAAATTTAGATATTTATAATAGAAACATTATGGAATAATTCTATTGTGTTAAGAAATATTTACATCACAGTTGGCTATTGTCATTCAAAATATTTATTCAGGATTAGTTTAAAGCAACAGTAAAATTATGCTATCTATCATGTCTTTGTTATTAAGCTTCAGATTATAAAGAGAAATAATTGAAACAGCTGATGAATAAGAAGGAATATTTTTAAAAATATATTTTTCTATTTCAGAGCCGAAAAAGGAAAAGACTGAGCAGAATGCAAATGGCGCGCTATCACCCAGCGGTGAACCAGCGGGCAATCAAGCCACCACGAATACAGGAAACCAGAATTCTGGCTCCGGTGGACTCCAGTCGGGGGATCAACAGAAGCCAAATAGGCCAAGTACCCTCGAGGCCTCCCGAATGCTCACAAGAAGACTAATTATGTTCGGAGGTAAGTTAAAACTTTCAACACCAACGAATATCAATCATGCCTGAGTTATTAAAAAAGTTACAAAATTTATTTATTAGCTGTTATTAATGCTAAATTTCTGATTGTTCTAGTGGAAAAGGGTGTTCTCCAGCCTACAGTTGAAGAACAGCAAGCAATCGATAGATATATGACTCCTCCCCTACCTCCACAAAATACTTTTATGCTGTCAGAACTGCCAGAACCACCGATTCCCTTAAGCGAGATCGGTCCAATTCCACCACCTCCCATGTTTAGTTCACCGAGTCCTACTATTTTAGCTAGACAACGTCAGCAAACGCTTCCTCTCTCCGATTGTGAAGATGATGGTAAGTGAATTTTATCCAATCTAATTTATAAATGATTTTTTTATATAGTTTAACTTTTTAACGAATTTTTCTAGTTAAATATTAATAAACGAGTTCAAATAGTTATTGATAAATAGCAGTAGATGAATACTAAATAATTCTTTCATTTTTGATCCTTCAGATGACGAGGCAATAGACCTGGAAGAAGATGATGACAGTCTTCGAATGTTTCGATTTTCTCAACCAGATCCTGCAATTGATACCTCAAGAGTAGAGGAAATTCCAGCCAAAGAGCCAAAGTTTCATGCTGTACCACTGAAGAGTGCCCTTAAGAAGAAGGGTCCTAATAGTGGTCCAGGGACACCTCAAAATACTCCTACGCAGGAAAACCGACCTTTAACTCTTCGCCAAGAACTTCATGCATCTTTTAAGTAAGTAATGGGCCTTCCCACGCCGGAGTCATGTAGTTGCTTCGGTTTATTTTATGGAATGTTAGAATCCATTTCTCGTCCTCACTTGCATCATTCATATCTTTTAAATCATTAGTAAAAATCATGATTATTTTTCTTATGCTCAACAGAACGCCGCCATTGAGGCCTAGGATGAGAATATGGTAAATGTTAGCAAGCTTGAACTTTATTATAAGCGCAATCAAAAATTTCATTATAAACAAAAATATCTGATCGATTTTTATATTCACCAAATAATTATGTTTAATGAAGCTTACTAATGTTTTTACGAATTGAATTTCAGTCTTTCGCAACAATGATTTTCTGACTTAGTTTTAAACTAAAAATAAAGTTATGAACAGTATTAAATCCCAAGTTTTCCATTTCAATTCACTCAAAAAAAATAACATGTGCTCATTTTAATATTGATATAATGAAAAATTATTCATTACCTCCAGAAATTAAAGTAGAGAAAGATTTTATTAATATTCGATGTAATTAATTTACATTTTAAATATACTATTATACGAGTATATAATTTCCAAGAATATTGAAAAAGTAATACTTGAATAAATTCTATTATAATGATATTATTAGTTTTCAAAATTAAAATTTCAAACTTTATTGAGGGCTATCAATGCAATAATCGTTCCATCACTCCTTTAAAATACAATTACATCAATCTAATGCTATAAATTTTTTATTCTAATTATTGATGAAGTTTGTAATGCATCTAACTTTGAGTTCATTTTTTATTTAAATATTTATGACAGTAAATTGTGCTTCATTGAAGTTCTCTACTGTTAAACAATTAAATCACCTAATTTCAATCACCTAATCATCAATAACAATTATATAGTGATAGCTTTTGGTTTCTAATACTTTAACAAAGTTCAGATATTTTTGGCAAATGCTGTAAAAAAGGTTGATAACGAAGAAATGAGCAATGTTCTAGTTCGTGATAAAAAAAACTTCGTACAGGATCTCATAATACTTACTTTCTACTCTTTCAAATATTTCATTTCATATCACCCATGTAGTACTTAAGCTATAAATAACTTCTTAGAACATTGATCTTTACGATATCAACTATCAATAACCTAAATACACAGGAATGTATTATTAATGATCAACATTGAATCCTTTACAGTAGTCGACCAGGGAGATTTGGCCTTACACTGCCATGTACTTTGGAGAACAAGGAAAATGCACGACCTTATGTTATCAGAGAAGACTCCGATGGTTCTGATGATGGTCAAGTGTTCTACCGTGATGACTATGAAGATGAAGAAAGTGAGTAGCTTATTTCAATTGGAATATCTATTCTGATAATACATCACTTTAAATTGATAATTGTATAATATTAATAATATTATTTACATTTACATAGATATTGTAATTATGAAATTTAAAACTAGTTTCAAATAAAAACTGTTTAACCGAATTTTTTAAAATGAAAATTGAAATGTGATTAACAAGTTGGAGCTTTTGTAGATGAAAAATAAATCATTTTAGATTTTAATTAAGGTTCTCCTTATCTAAAATCAATCAGTAAGAAGTATATTTAATTATTATTAATGAATGTAATGAAAAATAAGTTGACTCGATTTATTTGAATAATTATTCTGTTGTCAATAAAATTAAATTTTCTACGTGAGTTATAAATTATTCATAATTAATTACTAAAGAAAAAAAATAAAATAGAGAATATAGATTGAATCAAGTTGAACGAATCCAAACAGTAAATCATTTATTGAGTTGCCAAAACTAACTGATCTGATTGTTTAGATAGATTAGTCATTCAAAGATGCTTCGAAATATCCTTTGATGCGTTTTGTTGTCATAAAAATACACACGCGGACATCCGCCATCCTCCTCACTTCCTGTCTTCAGTGATCAGCTAGCTCGTCACGTCACCTTCGCAATAACAACTAATTATACTTCACGAAGCTTGGTGGTAGCAAAAGTGCATATACACATACATGCATACAAATACGCCTTGAAGTTTATATTCGTCACCAAAGATAGCTGGCAGAATTTATTTAGTTTCTTATTGTCTTTTAAATCTCATACATCAGCAAAAAAGTAAAAATTCATTTTATTTATTTTTTTTTCAATTTAAATGAATTCATTCTTAATGTTGAAGGTACATTGTTTAGTGAAAATAAGTGAGGATGAATTTATGAAAAATTATTGAAATCAATAAAATGTAAAAACGGTGTAAAATTGATTGAGATAAAATGTATCTCGAGAGAAAAATGTTTTCAATTAGAACAGCCTTGGCTTTAGCCATTCCTTGGACGTCAATACAATCATTTGAGGAGTCAATAAATTTACATCGGCATTTGAGTCGTTTGAAAGCTGATGGTGAAACTTTAGTTATCAATAGTAGCTTAAGTAGAAGGAATATGAATAATAAGAAACTTTAGATTATTTAGAATTTTCTGGCTAAGTAGTGAATGTCAAAGTTGCCATTCAAATATTAACTACACCTTACCCCGAATTATTGAGTTAAATATATAATCTCCACATTATTAAAAGGTATTCTAACTAGACATTACTAAGCACTGAGCTGGGCTTTACACGTAGTTGAAATATTTAATGGTGGTGAAAAGTTGAACAAATAACCAAAAAGTGCAAAAATAAATTATTGTAAAAGGAATAACTGTAATTTTGCTAAAAGTTTTTTTTAATTAACAATTAAATATATTTTCTTAAATACTAATACGCTATAGTTCAGAGTGAACCATGCTACACAAGTTCCACAAAGTTAAATGTAATTTCGATGCTCATTTTTTAACATAACAATTTAATAATAAACATCTTTAGTAAGATGTAAAAGAATCTAAAATTTTGACTTGATAAAATGAACGAAATTAAATTAATGAGAACTTCAATAATGCTTGTAATAGAAATGATGTTATTTTAATAAGTTAAAATTCTTGATTCAGCATCAGGATTGTGTTGAAATTTATCAATATTTAATTTGAACATAAATATATTAGTGGGTGTAGTATTAAATTAAATGAATATTAATATAAAGTCTTAATTAATATAATTATTTCAGGTCGATTAGCAGCTAAAATTGCACGGAAGGAATCACTGTCATTGAAATTAGCATTGAGACCAGATAGACAGGAACTTATTAACCGTAATATACTTCAACTTCAGTCTGACAATGAGAGACAAGAAACGAAGGAAGCGATTGGTGCTAGACTTATTAGGTTAATATCAAACTTATCATTCATAATAATATCCTTTATTTATTATTTATTATCAAAATACTAATAATAATCCAGATATATTTTACCATGAGCAGTTTTTAATTTAGAAAAAAGAATGATACCCTTTTTGTTTTGTAAATAACATTACATCATAGTATTCTATTTATATCTCTCCAAATTATCAAAACTTTTAATTTCTTTTTCCTTATTTCTTAATAAGGAAATGTTGAATACGTTTCAACAATTCATCAATACAATAATATTATTAATAAAAAGAATTACGTCTCTGATATAATCATAAATTAAATGAGAGAAATATTAATTTGAGAAAAGTAATTTACAGAATTAACATCCGTATAGAATAATAAATGTGTATTATTATAAATATAAATTAATCGATTCTTATTTGAGGTGAAATGAATTTTATTGTTCATATTCCAAGCATGCAACTTAATAACTTAACAATGACAGCTTGTCGAAATTAATCTAAAGTAGTTAAGTAAAAAATTTCCTTTCAAACAATCAATTTTTGAACTTTTATTGTTGATTACGTAGTTAATTATTACTTTCCCACACCATTATTGATTAAGTGTCAATATAATTAGAATTAATAAAGCTCATTGAGACTATTTATCAAGACGTCATATAATAATAAATATGTTCGGTCAATTTTATATACATATTTAATGAAAATGAAGTAGATGAATTGTTTTAAAAATTTTAGAAAAATTAATTAATATTAATATCTCATAACATAATATTCTCAAAGTTTTGGTTGTCTTCACAATAATTTCCAATGTCAGTTCTGTTCTTGATTCAACATTAGAGTGTTCTAGTTAACGTGTATAGATGAACAATAACAAATTTATTTATAGTTAAAAATAATTTTTGATAGTTTGAGAGAGCAAAGTATAATGCTATTTATTATTACTCACCGTAAAAATAATTGTTCACGACAAACTTTCCGCTGTAAACGCCGGATAAAATGATACAAATATAATGTCTGGATGAATCACTTGTTTGTTCGACCAGCTGTTGCAGATTTTGCACTCTCCTAACCCCTGACCTTCGTAATTTTCCCCACTCATTAAACTCTAAATACATATTAACATTATTATGTATGTTTCTAGGCGACTTAGTATGCGACCGACTCAAGAGGAACTCGAGGAACGGAATATTTTAAAAAGTAAGACCCTCGTGGCTAGTCCGCTATCATCCATCATATTATTAATGATTCTTATCAATAATAAAGTCTCATTTGTTATTTATCGAACATGTGTGAAACATCAGAATGATGCTCTCACGTTATTGTTCTACTGTAGTCCGATTGAATTTAAGTGTTTCTAGTAGAAGAAGACCACCTAATGATGAGACTATTTTTTCAGAACAAAGCCCAGCGGAAGAGAAAAAACAAAAAGAAGAAAAGAAAAGATACCTTTTACGCAAACTTAGCTTTCGACCTACTGTAGAAGAATTAAAAGAAAAGAAGGTATTTTTCAACTTATTTTTCTTGCTTGCTTTAACCAGTTTTACTACTTCAGTTTTTTTTTTCTTATTTTTTAATTATTTTTTTTTTGGCAATCAATTGTTTTCATTTAATTACATGGTTTAATTTTTTTTTAATTGTAGTTTTAATTTTTGCAATTTTGTTTATTTTTGTGACGCGTCCAGTGAACTCAATTACACAAAAAATTATTTTATAGATCATCAGGTTCAATGATTATATTGAAGTGACCCAGGCACACGATTATGACAGAAGAGCTGATAAACCATGGACACGACTTACACCAAAAGATAAAGCAGCTATACGAAAGGAATTAAACGAATTCAAAACGTCGGAAATGGCTGTTCATGAAGATAGCCGACACCTCACTAGGTAAAATCTTCAAAATAATTTGATAATTTTAAAGAAAAGTTTTTAAAAATAATACAATATTTTATCGTCGGACATTGCTAACATTTTACTAGTATTTAAATTAATTTTTCTAAATAAAATTTAGATAAATGAAAATGAATAATTGTTGTGATATGAGTGCATTGAATTGCTTTTTACAACTGATAAAAAAGTAAACAATAATAATAATAATTAATTAATTTCATTTTTTAATTATTAGTTATTATTATATCTTAGTCTTTAAGTATTTTAAAAACTAAGAAAGTATTATACTAATAAATGTATTATTTGGTACTGTTGCAGATTCCATAGACCATGACAATCGCAATGTGTAGAGGTGCTAGAGTGTAGTGCGGGTATTATTGATGCGTTGTGGTATCGTAAAAGCATTGACTGGTACAGCAACTCGCGGTTGATATGAAAGAATTTGTTTCTTTTTTTGACATTGTAAATTATTATAATTACAAAAATTACTGTGGAGAAATATTCGAAGACACTCTTTTGTAGTACTATGTCTATGAAGGAGAAAATTGTGATAGGGTGATCGTACCTTGTGTGTATAAAGGTTCATGGTGGATCACTCGACAATTATTTTCAAGGCTCGTACACTCAACAATGCACGTACACACGTGTACTCGACTAGTTTAAAAGATTCATCGGCTACAAAAGGAAGACAAGCACTTCTCTTCATTTCAATTATTCTTCATCATCTACATCAACTTTTTTATTATGTCTACCAACATCAACAACACTATTGTATTGAAGCATCTATCACAACCATTTCAATTCAATTATCACTAGAAAACAAGCATTATAAAAAATTTTGTCAAATTGATGAAAAAAAAAATATATACATACTATATGAGAATTAGCACAGGCGCATTGAAACTTCGATAAGAAACGAAAGAAATGTCAAATAGTCGAGTTCGCGTGCAAAGAAAAATAATTACTCATAAAACACCATTTTAATGATCAAGCTAGCTAATAGGTGTTACCTGACGATGAAACAAATAAATATAAGAAAATGTAATAATTATTTTAAACAAAGAATAATTTTTTTCATGTTAGATTCGTTCATGAAGAAAATGGTTACCGTTAATCGTTTTACTAATTGACATTAAAACCATATTTATTATGATCATTATTATTGAATATTTTTAAACAATAAAATAATCATTATTGTTATATATATATCATTATTATTAGGTTTAATTGTTCATTAATTTTAGAAAGATACTATGTTAATACTCCATAAATAATTAAGAAACTCGTGATTACTACCTATATCGTAGTATATTTTTTTACAGAAATTTAATTATAATTTTTTTATTTATATCTTTGGGTAACACCATTATTCATGAGCTATCTTGAGCAGTTAATTGTTAAGATGATTAATTGAATGAAAAAAAAATTAATAAATATTATATATTAAAACGAAGATAAAAAACAATGCATTGTGCAATGAAAATTTGTACAGAAATATCAGTAATTAATAAGTGTAATGTTATGGAATGTCGATATAATTATAATTAATAATTGTTATATTTTATCACTTCTTATTAACCAATAATTACTATAAATATTATTTTAATATTATGTTTTGTAATTAATCAATTGATTAAATGATTAGTTAATTAACCAACAGTATCATCAATCATCTACTATCAATAATAATGTTCATCTCATTGAAAAAACGTGCTCGATATTTTTCATGAAAATATTTACAACTAATAACTGAGTAATAATTAAACAAATTAAACAAAATGTTGCTTGACGTTAAAATGTCAAAATCAGCAGTGTTATTATTGTAGTTATAGTTAATAAGAAAAAAAAACAATAATAACGGCGTTAATTTAATTAAATAGTAAAAACAAAGAATTGAGTGAAATAATAATCAATCAATGAAATTCAATTAAATTTAAACAAGTAGCACAGTGTCTCATATACAACGAGGCATGTTTATTATTATAAAAAAAAAACTAAATAAATTAACTAAACGCTTTCTTCGTGCAACCATCAATTTATTATTCTGCAAATGATCTTTGGACGTGAGCTTCTATTACCAAATTAAATTAGATTAATTGCCTTAATTCCAGTAAACTTATATAATGAATTATTCATGCAATACAGTTGTTAGGGAATTGGAAACGAATGAATAAAATGGATAATATGAAATAGGATGGACAAATTGGTAAAGTTACAGAAGTGTATTGTTATTGAAGTTTTTGTTTGAAGAATACATTAAGATGAATGATTCAACAGAGCAACAAATGTTAGTTAGTATTTTCTATTAAATTAAAATACACAAACACAAGGAATTTTATAATCACTTTCCTTCATGAATAAATAGACTAAATTATCAATAGAATTTGTCAATTCTGTATTCAAGTTTTTCTTCATTGAACTTATTCATTTTTCCACTCTGGAACGAATAAAATTTCTACTTTATAACTTCGTAATTTAAAGCCAACTACTTGCTCTGATAAAACGAATGGTTAATCAATAAATAAAACTTTGATGCAAATAAAGCTTTGTATGATAAATAGATTAATTGTTCCGTACAATTGTTCAATACGTTTACAAAGAAATGCTCTCGTTCCATTGGTCAAATGTTCGACTACCGTGTAGTCGATTACTTTTCATATATGGTTGCGTTTTCTTTGAGAAAATCAGTAGGATATAAAATTGATTATAAAGAAATGAACAAATGAAACATAAGGGTCTCATGAATTTAAAATTTGCCATCGAAATGGTATTTAAATGGATAGAAAAAATACTTTGATATTGTAATTGATAAGTCGAAAAGTGCACAAAAGCTTTATCGATTTATGAAACGTATACATATATAAATATAATAAATTAAAATTTATAAATAGAGCAATTAAATAAATTCTTTGTAAATATATAAATATAAATAACAACAATAATGATTCTGAAAAAAATTAACAGAACAAAACGCAATAAAAGTTTCGTTGAATGCTATAATTGCAAATGATAAAACAATTTAAATTCTTACAAGATATTAATTTTAATTATTAGATAAACAAAAATTATTATGGAACCCTTTTCCCTTTAAGAAAATAAGTCAAACACACAATAATCGCAACTTAATAGTTATCAAAGCATGAATAGATATATTATATAATAGAAAATGTGCAATCACAGCATTAAAGTTGGTATTTTATGTACAAAAGACGAGAAGACTCAAGTATTGAATTAAAAAAGTATGAAAAAATTGAGAAATTCTTTAAAAAACTTTTAGCGAATTATCATTCTTTTGAAAAACAAAAAAAAACAGCATTTGAGAAGGTTTTAAGAACAGAATAGCTTACAAATTGCTCGCAAAACATTCTTATTTAATTTAACATAATTATTAAATTTTGAATGACTCCAATCAAATTTAAAAATATGAGGTTTTTTAAGTTCACTTTAACTATTTCATAAATTGAAACTCTATTAACACTTGAGTTTTCTGGTTATTTTTTATTTTACTGAAACAGTGATATGTATCATCAATTAAGTAAATTCGAGAATTATAGTCAAATTTTTTGTCAAATAATTACGGGATAAAACAAGTACTGAAAAGATTTCAGAATATTAATAACTGAGTGTTATTCAAATGTTTATAATATGGACGGACATTTTATGTATAGAATCTACTGTGAACAGTAAAAAAACATTCAACAAATTAGATAATTATTAGAATCAATTAGTAAAAAAAAGTACTTGATAACGAGCAGTCTTGTATTATACAAATTTACTGAATAAATTTAATGAAGTTTTTAAAAACAAAAAAAATGTAACTCTATTCACATTGAATTAAATAATAAAAATTTATATGATGTAATGGAGACTTCTGCCAAAATATTTTTACTTTTCAGAGTGATAAATTTCGCATGATGATGATTGGTGAATAAATCTTTATAATAGAGTTTAAGGATATAAGTATTAAAAAAACCAATATCCTCTTTTAGTAATATTCCATGTCTTAATTCATTTCATGTTCAACATTGATCTGTTACGATTGTTCATTAGATTACTTTGATAACTATTTTACTATAAACTTTTCCTAAAAATGAATAAAACAATACTACCAATCATATTGTGAACACAATGGTTAACTTAATAATAGAACAAATGATGAACTCTTCTACTGTAATATTTATTTTGTACAATGTAACTTTTAACAGGCTCATTTCCAAAGTTTCTTGTACGTCTCAGAGAATGCAAATCTTTTGGAAAGAGAATGATGCTGTATTGGAAAATTTTTTTTTTCATATAAAAATAAAAAAATGTATATAAATATTGTAATTGTATCGTAAACCTGAATATAATTGCACCTTATCCTTAATGAAAAATAAGAATACATAAATAAAAAAAATGAATTAATAAGAGGACGACTTAGGCCGCCAGTATGAGAAATGAAAGACAGAAAATAGAAGAGTATAGTCGAACAAATATAATAATAAATTAATTGTAAAGGATACAGTAAAAAAATAATTAATAATCAATGAAATATAACATTGATGATAAAAAAATAAGGTGAGATCATTTCCTCAAGTTGATATCGAAAGAGAAGACTTTCGATTTTAAGACAAACAATTGATTAACTTTTTTTATTTGTTATTAGTTTTTATGCACTATCGACTATTGCAATTAATTAATTGTATTATTAATTATTATTAATGAAAAACACTGTAACAAACAAAATACTGTTAACTATTCTTAAAAAAAAATAAAACTTTTGTAAACTGAAAAACTAAATTGAAGTTTGATTTATTCTTTTTGCTTCCCAAAAATTTTTCTATCCATTCCTAATATTATTCAACAATAGAATCATCTGAAATTAATGTTCGATGCCACTTCTATACAAATAAATGTTACATTTATATTTATAGTAATACTTATTATACAATTATTATATTATTAAATTAATAATGAGGTCAGGTAATATCACTGTCATGAAGAATTCTTCGTCAGTTATTAATTAATATTTGTGTCAATACTATTGGCTATTGAGTCGAAACTTTTGAAAATATTATTATAGTCAGTCTTCGGAAGTAGAGGTTCACCACTTTTTCGACCCAACAATCGAAACGGTGAATTCTGCAAAAAAATTTTTATAATTATTATCATATAACATTCTATCGATTTTTTATTATCCATTAAATTATATCTATTCAAGAGGAAAAAAAAATACAAACCTCTTTTAGCATATAACTTTGAATATCAACTCCAAAATAAAAAGCAGTTCGTTGCATAGCTTGGACCGATTTTAATCTTGTTCGTGGATCATATTGAAGCAATTTGTGTAATAAATCTTTCGCTGCATTGGATATTTCAATTCCTTCTGGTAGAGTTCCTGGAGGAATAGATTTTCCATCCACTTCTTGCATAATTCCATTTTCAGTCAAAGTTATTGGATACTGCAAAAAATGGTAACATTTTAAATCTTGTTTTCTACTTGAAAGTAAGTTTATTATATTTCATGCTTTATCTTAGATAAATCCAGATAAAAAATTGTTTTAAGAATTCATCATGTAGAATAAGATAAAGATACTTTGTAAACCCTGTTTTTTAAAAATAGTATTTCTTATTAAGAACCTAATAGATATTTTATGATTTGTAACTATAAAAAATATATTGCGCCAATATGTTTTGTTAAAATTAGTTATTATCTGAATTTATATTACAATATAATGTTAAAAACCCCTTAAAAATTCATGTTGTAAATACTGTTTATGCACGAAATTATTTTTCAAGTTTACTAACAAACTAATGAATAATCAATGATGACAATAAAACTACATTCTATATAAAATAATCGTTCATCTTTAAAATAAATACGCCGTGAATGTTTCGCAATGATATTTTATTCTCACTGAATGGTTATATGTGAATAGCATTCAAAACTCACTGGCAGTTTAATTGATAAAATGAGTCACATTTACAGAGAAATCAAAAAGACGAAATAGCTCGACAACAAAATTTATTGAACTACAAGAAATCAGTGGATACTTTTTTTACCATTTTTTTGTTTTATTTTAAATAAAATATTTTGATTTACTAAAAACTCTTCTTGAAAGTACTTGTCAAGCTGTACTTGAAAAAGGAAGAAATTAACTTAAAAAAGTGTCGTTTTTACTTTGTAAAAATAAAACTTTCTCTTCAAACTCTAAATTTTTTAGGGTAAATGTTCTGATACTTGAAAAGTTATTATATACTTCAAAAACAATTCAAGCTTCAGATGATTATTTTATAAATAAGTTTACTTTATGCAATAAGAAAAATAATTATTATGAAAAATTTGCTTGAGTATATTAAATAGCATAAAAAAATTTCAATTTCTTTACTATTCAATTAATTTATGTATTTGATATGATGCAATAGACATTCTTCAGAGCGAAATAATTACGAATATAATTCTTTATAAAGGTGATAGCTTAAGGTAGAGCTAGAAAATAGCTAGCTCATCAAAACTAAAAGAATTTTAAAAGTTTTATTTTGGAAAAAATAATAACTTAGATAAGATCAGGTGTTTAATAATATATTTCTAATGATCAGCAACAAAATGAAGGTAAGATAAATAGATATGGTGTAAATTAATGCAAAACAGGTGTCTAGTCTGGACACTGACCTTGACCGAGACTCGTAACGGTACGTAGAAAGGATTAATATTACGTGATCAAAGATAGAATGATTTTTATCTTATTTAGCTGATGAAAAGTTTCAATTCTGATCAGAAATATTAGTAGCAGACATTTTTTATCACAATGTAAAAACATATTTTAAATTGAAAGAATACAAGAGTGATGAAAAAATAAAAAGAAAAACGGAGGATTAAATAAAATTTATTATGTAAAAGCTCCTTAGATGAAAAAGATTATACTTCATGCACCTATCCTTTTAGTATTCAACGACTCAATTCTTTAAAGATGAGAGTTGATCTTCTTGAGACATGGAAAATGTTTAAATAAAGGAATCATGTCTTTTAGATTTTTTATTTCAATTTTTTCCTTTTTTTTGTTCAACAAACTTTAAACTTCACTTTCAAGTGGAAACTGAAGAGTTCAAACGAAGCCGTCCAAGCCAACGCTAATATAAGTACAGATAAATCTAAATATAAGAAATATCTGAATGTTAGTTATTAAAGCTAACATCATTGTTAAGTACAAATTTCAATATTACTGAGAATGTAAAACATACTTGCGATGATTTTTGAATAAAAATAACTGATTGTTTGACCAGATATAATATTTTAATATATGTAGATGAATATGCAGAACAATTGTAGATGGATAAATCATTTTGTTCAGTTTAAAAATAATTTATCTCAAGGATTATTATATTTATTTATAATGATGATCAATTACTCTGAGTACATCATCACAAGAGTTACTGGAGTAGAACAAAATTTTCTGGATTTTTATAAATTATTTGCTTGAAATCAAATTGAAGTTTTGTTTGAAAAATGTAAATAATACTTAATAAGTAACAATTAGCAATAAAAAATACTGTAGCATGTTGTGTTTATAAAGAGTAAGTTTCAATGAACTTTTTTAACTTATTTAACTCTGAAAAAAAAAAATAAGCAACATATCATTATAGCCTTAATATTAGTTTTTGCTTCTAAAAGCATCCACTAGGATATGAAATTAATTATTTATCATGAAATTAAATTGCAATCCTATTTTTGATCACTTGCATTATTTTATGCTTCATATATTTCAGTTAAAAAAGAATACAAGTATCATTATCTGTATTTATGTTATTACCCAATTATTAGCAGATAATAAATACGGATTAAATCTTGCTTGAGCTTTTATTAGCAGATAAAAATGACTACCCAGCAAATCTGTGTACAAATACCTTCCATGTAAATGTATTTTTAGAACGTTTCTCTATATTTTTACCATTAATTTTATTTTCATCTCGGAAATATAACCTAAAAATAATTTTATTCCCAAGACAATAAAAATAAGAATAAAGCTATAAAGTATAAAAGATATTCAATAAATAAAAATTCCACGTTTGATACCAAATCAGATAGTTGTTTTTTAATCCATTAGTAAGCACAAAATAAGAATGAAAAACAAAAAAAAATACCAACTAGATAATAATCAGCAAAGTGTGAGTGTGATTGTGACCGAGATATTACGTCAAGTTGTTTTGTGGATTCTTTACAAGGACTCGAAACCGATGAGGTCTTTGATATCAAGATGAAGAGTCGGCATGAGAAGCAACTTGTTATTGATGCCAGAAATAGAACACTGGTGGATGTCAATGTACTCACGGGAAAACAAGTCTGGACACCTGTAAAACTATTTTTATCGTTATTGCTCAGCTAATTTAAACATACACAAGTTGAATGTTACAATTAATTCTCGCGAGGATTCTCGAGAGCTCGAGGGATATCTCAAGCAATGAATATGCATGAAGGAGGCAAAGGGCGACGTCTATCTTTGCTGTTTCCTCTTTATTCCGTGACATCCGCTCTCGACGATCTGCCATTTGTCAGTGTAATCAAACGTTTCTTTTCTATTGGAAGAGATCACATCATCATACACGTTATACTGTGTTAACTTCTCTTTAACTTTACTTAACCACAAAACACGCAACCAACTGGAAAGTTGTTCCTTGTCTAACGAACCCTCATGCGAACTTCACGGATCCGTGACTTTGCCCTTGTGTTTTTTTATGTGTTCCGGCTTTTGAAAGCACCCTTGCCAACTTTATAACCACACAAATATACACACAACACCTACGCCATCATTTTTCGTTATGCATGTGCAGAAAGAAGGTTATTTATGCTAAAGCATCACGAAATATTTACATTTAATATCATTATGATAATTGATTTTAAATAATTATGAGAAACTCTTTTTTTTTGTATTCATTTTTTTCAAATAAAATATTTGCAACATTTTAAATATAAAAGATACTAAAAGGTAATACTTAGTTTAATTAAATTTTATTTTATTTAAGGAAATTGATATTGATGGAAGATATTTTTTGATTATAATAAATGAGAATAAATTAAAAGATCAAGCTACAAATAATCTTTTTTTTTTTTTAGTTTTCAGATATTATATTTATAATTCCACTCTTCTGTCATTTAAAATACTGAAACGATTTCATCTCTATGAATATGATAATGAGGTTAAAATTGATCAAATAGAAGTGGACTAATCCTATGTTTGATATCTCTTCGAGTAACTATATTTCTCAAAATAAAATATATTGAAGTAATTAATTGATTTTAGATAGTTACTCAACATTATTACGTGAAACTGAACAAATAAATAATTATAATGAAGTTAAAAAAAAATAATAGAAAATAATTGGACATGAATAAAATGATTCAATAAGAATTTCTAATTAACTCGGATAATTTTTGTCCTATTAAAAATAAACAGAAGCTCTCATGAAAATTTATACTCGCGGTAATTATGATAAATAATGTTAATTAATGATGAATTTTTGGCATTCATTACACGAAAAAATAATTAATTTTCAACCGTGCAAATTTTTTTAACACGAACACTGACAAAATTATGTTCTTGGATTAAGAATAATTCTATTTTTGATCATAATATTCTTAAATAAAACAATAATTAACGATATAATACAATAAATTAAATAGTATAAAAATTTGTTCAAATTAAATAACATTTAAGGTTAGAGGAACACAAACCATATTTATACAAAAAAAAATTTACTAAAAATATCTACATTATACTGAAATCAGTAGATTAATATTACATACTCCGAAAGTAAAATTTAATCGATCGAATATAAATTTTTTATTGATGGAGAAATTTATTTCATTTGTTATATTAACATACCTTTGATTTAAAAGAAAGAAGGTGTCTATATATTCGTTGGCTTGAAAAGTACAAGTTACTTATAATGAAGGTAAATTTGACTGACTATTTTTCTCCATGTATTATTGTTTTATTTAAAAATATTTTGATCAAGAATGAAATGATTCCTAATCCCAGAATATCGTTTCGTCAATGTAAACTGAATGAATGTTGCTAACATAAATACAAATAGGTATTTTCGATACGTATTCTACATGATCATAATAATAATAAAAAAAAGTTCAATTTCAACCAAATAGATCTAGCACATATTAAGAATGCGGAAATATCACCTTGTCAGATAATATTAAATAGGTATAAAATTTAGCTACCCGAAGATATAAAAAATCATAAGCAAAACTGGTTGCTAATGTTTGTAGCCAGTATTAGCTGACTTGGCCATTAGAAGACAGAATAAGGGTACTCCTCATGGCGCCAGGAATAATCTTACAAGGAGCCTTGTATTAGATGCACGTATAATCTTCTCTCACGGCTCCAAGACTATTTATAAACCAGTACCCGATTGCGTGCCTCGACTCGTCCGGTCGGTATTTACAATAAGT